TTATAACATGATCTCCATGTATATTATAGTAGTATTTTAGTCATTTAATAATCACAGTAAGTGATACTCATTGTAGTTTCAATGTTGCCTGCATAGATTATGTTATTACTGGGCCAATGATCATAATCACTAAGATGACAATCATATAATGTCTGGGTCGTATGTAGTACAGTAGATTGTACGTTTGCAGTGTATTGATTTGCGTTTGGGATACTCAGACAGGTGAGTTGAGTTCTGTGTTGTAGTATGCTGTGTGCATGCATGTGATGTGTAGAACTGTATAGAGTATAGACATAGTAGAGTGTAGATAAAGTGTAGGCAGGGAGCTCAAGGCTCATAACCTGTTAAGAAAGGGGAAAGAGGTTATGTGAGAGGCTTAGAGAGATCACACAAAGAGGGGGGATAGTGGACTCGGCTCACTCTCTCGCGGCTTGCTTCATTGTCTGTTAATTAGTTAGTCTATATATACTATGTAGGTATGTCTCAGATGTAGAATGTATGATGGAAGGTATTCCATCATCGTTCGTCATTGCTTGTAATGTAGTTTATATCATCTGAGACATGCTCTCGTGTAGTCTTGTCTTAACACCTTACCATCCTGCAAACGCCTTATAGCGTTTGACAACCCTCCCAGACTCACAGAAATGACTAAGGATGAACTCGACCTACCTGCAACAAAGCCAGGCATAACGGCAATCAGGTTGATTTGCCCGGCACTCGGGCGATTTGCAGATTCATGGAAAATGGAAGTCAGACTCCGTGACGGTGGGATTGTTACAATCGCTAACGTTCTTCATGGAGTATATGAACAACTTCGAGCCAAAATAACAAAAGACGAGCAAGCATTATTGTCGTATTCAGGGGTACATTATGAAAGGGTAGAGCGTCCGAGGCGAGTGGAATTCCTTGGGAATAAGCATTGGTTTGCAGGGTTGAGACAGGTGAAACTCGATAGTCCATATGACTTTGAATTGTTGGTCAAAACGGTATGAACTCCAATTTAGTTGTAACTGATCTACTTTGTTGTATTGGATTGATCGAATGCTCTAATATTTTCATATCATTGAAGTGTATAATGTGGCCGGTCAATATATCCACTCATTGCAATGCACTAACAAAATTCGTCAGGGATTAATAATAAAAAAGTTGTTCGGCAAAGGGACTTGTAGCTGCTGGGCTTAACAGACATCCGAGCATCTGCTAACCATTGTCCAATAACCAAAATTCTACAATGTAAATGGTTTATATTGTCAAGTTATCCCCGAGAAATTAAATAATGTTATTGCTAACAAGAAGATGTAATAAACACTCAGGCAGCTCCGCTTTAACACTAGCATTTAGTTTTGGGATATATTCTGAGAAAGATCTTCCTTTTCCTTCCTCCAGATCAACTTACCCATATGTATATTCTAGGATTCTGATGTAGCAATGCTACCACCACCTTGAGATCCGAACACAAAGTCAAGTGATGTGGTATTTATACTCGTGATGTAGATGGTTTGCTTTGTTCTCCATTGCCTGACCTTGTCCTCGATCGTTTGCTGATCTCCAGTTGTCGTTATGTCCAGCATCTCCAATAATGCTCTGCATGAAACCCTTGCTAAGCTTGCACATCTCGATCTATCGGGCCGCGTCCAATGCGATGACGTTGTCATGAACGCTGCTGGTGGATACTGCGATATTTTCGTTGGGTCCGCGGTTCTTGCTTCCAGGGAGAACTTCAGGGAGGGAACCAGAATGAAAGTTGCAATCAAGCGACTTCGTGTACATATTTGGAAAGATCGAGATTTTGAAAAAGTGGGCAGTGATGGGGAAATGCTGTTTCACCCTTCGAGCTTCTGACTAGTTTGAATTAGATCCTTGCGAAAGAACTATATATTTGGTCGAGGCTTAATCACGTTAATATTCTACCTCTTCAAGGATTTGTATTGGAAGGTGGATATCCTTCCATAATATCCGAATGGATGGGGAATGGAACGCTTTAACAGTATCTACAAGAAAATTCTACCTGTGATACTGAAAATATTGTGTGTTTATCCTATCTGTTTCGGGTGAAATATCTGAGGCATGTTTATTAGATACTGGGATTTGCCAACGGTCTTGACTACTTGCACAGAGAAGACATAGTGCATTCGGACCTCAAAGCAGTGAGTATGCCTTTCTTTCCATCTCTCACTTCGTGTTGATTTAGACTCGGATGTCTCCAGGACAACGTTCTCATCAATCAATTTGGAACTCCTCTCATCTGCGACTTTGGTATATCCAGAATGCTGTCCGCTACAGCATCAGTCGCTGCAATAACTTCTGGCGGGCTCAAAGGATCGATAAGATGGATGGCATACGAACTTCTTGATTTTGAATCATTGGATGGCGGACACCATACAAAAGAATCAGACGTCTGGGCCTTTGGCATGACTGTTTATGTATGTATGCGTCATTCTTAGTTTGGACATCACCCGTGACTGCTGACAAATGGATCTGATAGGAAACCCTTACGAAGAATTTACCCTATGCAGACCTGAAGAATGACGCACTTGTTCTGCGTGCGATTTTGGAAGGCAGATTGCCGCCAGTGCCCGCAGACTTCGATTCCTGGAGACCAAACCTTCAAACGGTTTGGAAAATATGTCAGAAATGCTGGATATTGCCTGAAAAGGATTGTATTACTGTGGAACAAGTTGTGATTCATCTTGCTGGGGTGGGTGACGGCTGGGCAGAGACGTGTAATGATACAGCCTTACTCAGCCTAATTAATTTATACTCTACACCAGAGCCAACTTTGTATGTTATTAATTTGCTATTTGCTAAGAACTGCTCTAATGACTCATCTCATTTCTAGAGAGCTGCCATTTCAGTATGCACCTGTCACCTATAGTTGCCGTGGTCCGGTTCTGGACCGGTCCACCCCTCCTTTACCTGGACTGTAACCCGGACCTCTTCATACGGTCCGGGTAAAGGAGGGACCTGGACCCGAACCTTTGTGGACTGCTGTTGGACCGGACCTGAGGTCCAGTCCAGGTCTGGTCCAGGTATGACCTGGACCAGTAGAACTTATACTTACAGTCGACTCAAGAGTGTGTCCCTAATGTGAGTAGAGGAGTTCAAGCATCCTACAACAAATAGTGTCTATTCTTTTTTTTGTAATATGTAGCTAGTGCTTTATACTAGACTAT